GATGCAGGAGTCCTAGAGGCACCGATAGGTTGTGGTGGTTACATGCAAACTCTTACAGCAATAGTCCGGCCCTGTAGGAGATAACCATTCATGCTTTGCAATAGCATTGTTAGCCATTTGAACATCAGAATACTTAACAAAACCATATCTTTTGCTTAATCCAGTAATCCGATCTTTAATAACCTTAGCCATCACAATATCACCAAAAGGGGAAAACAATCTGATTAAGCCATCATCATTTAGGGTAGGTGGCAAGTAGCCAATATACAAATTTGTATCATCATATTCCTTTGTTGGCTTGATAATAGTTGAGCCTAAGCCAGGGTGTGCACTCCCGCCACCACCAGCATTATTGGCCCAAGGTGGATTGCTTCCGGAACTGCCTGAACCAAGGGCCAAGGTAGGGGTTGCTTAATTGAAGATTCAGGAACCGTGCCTCCTAACTCAGCTAAGAAGTTCTGGTACTCATCATCCATTTTCTTCCCTGTCGTCCCCTTCACTGGACAATCAATAGTAGGATGCCCACCATCACCACATATCTTGCAAAGAACATCACTCTTAAAAGTATTAGTCCGTGAGGGACACGCGTACTGCCTGTGACCTGGCTCACCACATAACCTACAATACTCTTCATCTCTTATAGTTCCATTCAAGGCCGCAAGTTCCCTAAGTTGCTGCCTTTTATGTTCGTTCAGCACCTCATCCACGGGCTGTAGGAGCTTCTCAACCATCCCTGCTGCTGCATCAAGAGCTTCTTGAGTCTCAGCCTCCACTAAAACATGCAAATCCTCGTTCTCTGAAGGGTCGGGCTTCAAATCCCGCTTCTGCTGCAACCTACCCTCCTTCACCGACCCTTTACCACGAATAACAATTTTTGCACCCGTCTCTCTTTCCATTCTCTTCTGGGTATTCCCCCTTGGTCCAATAATAAGCCCAATAAAATTGTAACCTGGGTATTCCTTCATCGGTATATAAAGCTTCTTCTGAAGCTTTGGCGGCCTATAGTCCGCTGGTGGCTTAAAAGCTGGGTTCCGTTTGATAATCTGAGAAATAATCTCTTGTCTTTCCTTATTCAATCTCTCTCGTGCTCGATACTCCCTAGTATTAATCCGAATTCCCATATTATCATAGATAGGCTCAGGCGAAGGAGACCTTTGCCCTTCAGGCCTATCATCCAAAGGTAATCCAGACTGCAACATCCTACTAATCTCAAGTAATCTACTATTTAAAGCTTGAATCTCCGGGTCAAATTCAATACCTCCGGTGAAATCCTTCATAAAATCAGGAAGCTGAATCACCGGCTTCGGCTCATCGTCTGCCCACCGAGATTTCCTCTTCCTCGTACCGCTGCCCGTGTCTGTGTTCTCAGCACTCGCGTTGTTCGAGTCCGCAGGCGGATCCCACCGGCTCCGGCGGCGCCTCCTGCTGGTCGTCTCCTCCTCCCCACCGGATTGCTCCTTGTCCGTGCCACTTTGCGTTTTGGTGACGCCGTTCTCGGACAGTAACGGCTTTTGGATCTCGAACTTGAACGAAGCGATATTGTTACTGTTGATACCCATCTGGGTATTGCCGTTCAATTGACTATTATCAGTACTGAAGGCTAAGGAGCCACCGTTCTCATCTGCGCCTCGAGGATAATCAGGCAGCTGATTGAACGGGTACTGACCGTCAGAAACTGTTGTTTGTGGGTTTTGGTGATCAGGGGCCAGAGTTTCTTCCGGAGGAGGGGGAGGAGGGTAGTTTGGATTATGGAAATCTAAGGTTTGCGTTGATGGGTGCTGGGGATCTAGGGATTGAAATTGATGGTTACTAACAGACTCCATGAAATTGTAAGGCAACACCTAGGTTTCAGTCGAGAGAGAACCCTAGGGATGGTTGCGCGACTTCGCTAGAGAATGAAAGATCTCTGTATGGGTGTTTGTGTGTTCGTAATTGCGAAGGAAATATGAGTGGAATAATAAATATTTAACTGGGTTTATTATTATGTTCGCTAAAATAATTAGATTTATTAATATATTAGTATTCTGACACAAGTTATCAGCTTTTTTTAAATAATAAAATACATAATTAATATAATTATATAAAATATATTTGTTATATTTTTTTAATTTTTTTTAGAGAGCTATATAAATGAAAAATATATTATATATTATATATAACAGTAAACTGAAATATACCACATCCTAATCTTTTATTTTTTATTTTTGAAAAGAATTTTAAAATATAAAATAATAATAAATATTTAAAATATAAATTAGAATTTCATGTTTAACTGATTATAAATGTATATAATAGTTATTTATTTAAATTTGTAAAATGTAAAAATAAACTTTATTATTAGTTTGTTGCAAATATATATAATGGCTATATTAAAATTTATTTTATTGACTATAAATTGTAAAATTATGTATTATATAAATTCTTAATCACCTATTTCTTTGCTCACAATTTATTTATTTAATAATTTTTTTTCACACTTTATTTGTTTTATAGATATTTTATAAAAATTAAGACATAATAACAAAAAATTAAGATATGATATCTGATAACTTTAATATTATGCTATGAGTTTTGACTTTGCTGTTACCTTTTCCCAATAAATTTATTTGCTTGTTGTAGATAATATTATTACAATTTAATTTTATTATTTTTATATAGTTATAAATTGTTTTTAAATTTGTATGTTGTACATAGTACAGATAAAAATTCTGTTTTATAATAAACCAAATAACAAAAACTATTATTTGATTCTAAATTTGATCCATGCTTTAACATACAAGGGATCCCAATCATTATAACAAATATGATATTAAATCAAGTGAAACACTTCAATTTTATCACTTAATCTTTTATGACTCAAAATAATTATGAGGTATTAATGTATCAAAGAATTATGGATAATTAAATATTACGATAGATAATATATTTTTGGATTTTATTTAAAAGTCACGGATACAAATCTTACTAAGAATATAAAATTTATAATTTTTATAAGTATATTATGAGTTGACGGTAGTCAACATATGACGTTTCATTCAATTGAACTAAGAGTTTAATTCATTAAGATATGTTTAATTTAGTTAGACCAATAAATTCGTTAGTACATTCAAAAAATATTTTATAATTATTAAGTTTGTTTAATTAGAATAATCACAATAAGATAAAACTTGAATTAACCTTTTAATTTTTTTTTTTAAATGTTATATACTATATTTTTTTTTACTGTATAAAAAGAATAATGGAACTAATAAATACTATAACAGTTATAAGACATCCAACCGTTGGAAAGTGATCTACGTACATGTTCACTTGCGTATATGAACTAAACATGAGCTCCCAATATTTGATGTTATTTGTTTTACTACTTGATGAAAGAATTTTAATCAATGCTACATCACAGATATATCTTATCATCGCAAATTATTGAACAAGAAAGTTATAAATTAAAAAATCTTTAATTTAAGTAACAAAATTGATACTTTCTAATTTGTTCAAATATTATTAAATATTTTATTAGATATTAAGTGACATTTAATGTAATACTAAAAAGAAAATTTTATGTGACCTAATTTAAACTCTGTATGTAACATGTTGAAAACTTTCATATTTAATTTGTAATATGAATCCCGATTTACTCAGACCTTAAGACAGTTTAAACTTCTTAATATTTCGTATTTTAAATTTTTTGGATAAATTTCGTATTTCATATTTTAATTTTATATTTTATTTGATTAAATAATTATTTAAACTAATTATTATATTTTTCTTGTAGCCAAATTATATTTTTAATCAAATAAAAAAATTTCGAGGAAAAACGGCTTAAAATCTAGCGGGAACACCTGCGAGAGGGATCTTGCTTGTGCATGTCGCACGCCGCACGCATGTACACGCATGCGGCTAACATAGGATGTACACACTATGTGCACGTCCCATCTGTGCGGGGTGTGAGGCTCATTTTGCACATGCAGCAAGTTAGATCTGCGACGCATAACAGAGTGGGGCAGCGTGCGTGCCTTGAATTAGTGCGGCGCTGCCCCCTTTGGGGCACGTGTGCTGCCAGCTTGGGCGGCATGCCACCGTTGCTTGGGCGACATGTCACCGTCATTTAGGTGGCGTACCTTCGATTTTTGCGCCATTATCACATTGTATCGTTCATCCATCAGTCGTGACATCTCATCTTTTTATATTGACTTTTTCTCTCTTCATTTGATTTTGTCATTTGACGCAAATCTAGCAGTCCCTATTTTCTATAAATAAGAACCCTCACTTTACTATTTCCTCATCACTTCCACTTCATTCTTCCATCCACCAAAGGGTTTTAGAGATAAAGAGTGATCTTAGAAAAAGGCGTAGGAAACACCAAGAATTTGGTAAAGGATTTAATATTTACTTTCAAAATATCATAAGAAGCTTTTCTAAATTAAATTAACAAAGTTTAAATTAAATGGTTGTATGATTTAAATTATATGCTTAAATGAAATATTTTTTCATATTAATGCATGTTTATGAACATATATAAACTGATTATTTGCATGTGTATTTTAAATGATTTAATACTTGAGATAAATATTGATATATGATGCACTAGACGGTGGAAAAATGCTAGACGGTGGAAAAATGATTAAGTGTGAAATGATGTATAGACATGAGAAATATGTATTGATATTAGCATGCATAATTCTTAAGATATTTCCTTAGGCTATTTATCTCTGAGAGGTTTCTGTTTTTCTCTCATCAGGTCTGAAAAGATGTGAGATGATCACTCTCTGTAGATGATGGTGTACCATTTGATGAGAGTGGTGACGCGATATGATTGTAGGAGTCACATTTGACAAAATACGACCGTGATCATAGTTAACAAGTAGGAACACTGTGGTTGGTACAGTCGTTGTAACACCCAAAATAATTTTTTCTATTTTATTTTATTTTATTTTATATTTTTTTTGGTGTAATTTAATTTAAATTAATTTTTGTGAATATAAAAATATTAATAATGATAAAATTAGGTAAAAATATTATTTGGATTTAATTAAAATTGATTTTGGAAAAAAAGGGTGAAAATTTAGATTCTAGGAGTATTTTTGAAAAGAAATTCGGAAACCGGGGGTCAAAACGCAATTTAAAAAATTGTGCCCCGTCAGCGCCACGTCAGCAGCCACGTCAGCGGCCCAGTCAGCAGCCCTGGCCAACCAGGACCTGCCGCGTGGCAAGGCCACGCCGACCTGGGAACGGGCCACGTGGGCGATCCGCGTGCGCGCGATCGGATGGCCCAAATGCGTTCCCGCGCGCACGGACGGCCCAGATCAAGCATGCGCACGGACGGCCCAGATGCACGCGCACGGACGGCCCAGATTCAATCAAGTACGGACGGTCCAGATTTAATCGCGATGGATGGCCCAGATTTAATCCAAATTAAATCGCGATCGAATGACCCAGATTAAATCAAGATGGACGGCTGTGATTAAAAGGCAAATGGTATAAATAAACCCCCCACACCTGACCACAAAAACCCTAGCCGCCAGCCCTCACCGGAGAAGACGAACCAGACGCCGGAGGAGCCAGCCACCGCCACCCGCCGCCGCACCGGGGAGTTTTTCGACCGCCGATCGAGGTAAATTTCATACCCCTGGCTCGTTTTTCAATGCTGAGTTCTCCTGTGGCCAAATCGGAGCCAAACTCCTGGTCAAACGGCCGGAAAATACGGCCGAAACCCAGTGGCGTCGCCGCGCCCCTCCTCGGTTTTTGCCTCCGATGAAGCCCTTCCCGGCCTCCGTTTGATACAATTTTTATATCACCGTGACCACCATTCTTTTCTCTACAGGTTGATCGGAGCCAAATCACCAAAACACGAACCACACCGGAGAGCCGCCACACCCGAGAGCACCGCCGTCGGTAAGCTTTGGTTTTTCGTAATTTTTTGGCCCCCCGAGGGCCCTAGGGTTCTTTTATCTCAGGGACCGATGCAAGTGTGGCCGAATTCGACCGGAAACGGCCAAAAACGGCCAACCCGAGGCGAATCACCGTCGCAAGCGGCGACGCCGTCGCCGGAGCACGACGGAGCCACCGTGCCGGAATTGCGATATTTACCGAAAGGGGCCCTAGGTCTGATTCTGAGATTTTTGGGACACGTGCAGGTACCGGTAGTGTGTTTCAGTTTTTCGAAAAAAAATTCAGGAAATTTAGGGATAACCCGCAGACACTCGGAAAAGCCTATTTCGGGTCCCGAAAACAAGTAAGGATTCCTCACCCTATTTCCTATCACGGTATTAAAATGCAATAAATGATAAAATGGTATTTCATGAATCAATAGTTGTGTGAAATTGTTTAAGGTTGCTAATGGAGCCGGAGTCTAGTGTATTTGTCGGTCAGTTATTGTTTGTTCTATTTTACAGTTTTAAATACAGCATGATGTCTGATGTTTTTATTTCATAGTTTTGTGTGCATGTATCACTGTTTCATTGATTATGGACTGAATGACTGAGAACCCGATGTTGTGTGTTGTCTTGTTGGCATGAACTACTGGTTTGCATGTTTGTGTGTGACCTGATGATGGTGACTAAAGAAAAAGGGATAAAAGGTTATGTGAATTAGAAAACGGATAATGTGGACAGCCTGACTAGGTATCCTGGGAGATGGTGGACGGACCGGGTCCGTAGGGAACCTTACCGGGAACGTGGTCTCTCATACCGGATGAGGTATGGAGACCTTATGTGTTTTGGCGCCCATACCGGACGGGGTATGGGGACGGCCCGTTTCACCCTCATACCGGACGGGGTATTGAGGTTCATGGTTTTGGCGCCCCATACCGGACGGGGTATTGAGGTTTATGGTTTTAGCGCCCCATACCGGACGGGGTATGGAGACGGCCCGTTTCACCCTCATACCGGACGGGGTATTGAGGTTCATGGTTTTGGCGCCCATACCGGACGGGGTATGAGGACGACCATGGA